AGTGATCTGCCCCCCGCCCCCAGTTTATATACTAGGCATGATGGTACAGAATATTCCTTTGGCCAGTTTGGGTCAGCTGTCCTGGCTGTGTCCCCTCCCAACTTCTTGTGCCCCTCCAGCCTTCTTGCTGGCTGGGCATGAGAAGCTGGAAAATCCTTGAGTTCATATAAACATCACTTGGCAACAGCTGAAAACATCAGTGTTACCAACATTATTCTCATACTAAATCCAAAACATAACACTATACAAGCTACTAGAAAGAAAATTAACTCTGTCCCAGCCAAAACCAGGACAACTGTTTAGCTGTGTTTTGCTTTCCCTTTATGGTACAGATTCTGGGTTAGAGTGTCCTGTGTGTAAAGAAGACTATACAGTCGGTGAAAATGTCCGACAGTTACCTTGCAATCACCTATTCCACAACAGCTGTATAGTCCCTTGGCTGGAACAGGTTAGTGCTGTCTGAGTGGGTGACTTGGGTTTTGTTGCACTTGGGTGTTTTTTCTGGTGGTACTATTGTCCTCTGTAAATATTTTCATACCTCCATGATGAGGCCTAAGCACGAGCAGCCTTTGATCAGAGGAAGGAGTGTCATCCTAGCCTTTTCCTTGAGTGCAGCTCCTGTATCGTGTTTCTAATCCTGTTTCCCATATTTCTTATTTTGTTTTTGTCTGCTCTCCAAAGCATGACACGTGTCCTGTGTGCCGGAAAAGCTTAAGTGGACAAAACACTGCCACAAACCCCCCAGGACTCACAGGGATGAACTTCTCATCATCCTCCTCCTCCTCTTCCTCCAGCTCACCAAGTAACGAAAACTCATCGAACAACTCATGAATCTTAATCCAACCCTCTGTCCCTGGGGCCCTGTCCATTGTCCTCCCTCCCTCCCCAGCCAAGGTAACAACAAAAGGGGCTTCCAGAGCAGAGCGAGGGGAGGGTAGCAAGGGGGAAGCAGTGCCCCCAGAATTCCCTTTTGCGTTCTGAAGACACGGAGACTCTGGGTCCTTCAGAGATGAGAAGCCTCAAGTTCTGTGATGGGGGGGAAAGAGCTCTGTCTATTAATAAAAACATCCCTTTGCCGCGTGGACTTTTAACCATTGCAGTGAAAGGCTGCTGCGCTCCACAGATGGGAAACCCAAGGTGCTGAGCTAGCGGTTGCAATTCTGAACGGAAAGGTTGTTTGTATGGTTTTGAATTTGAGATTCCTTTCTTTATTTCTTTTGCTCCTCCTCCTCCCCTTGGATACTATCTCTTCTGCTTTGGAGATTGAAGTCTTTAAAATGAAAGCGTAATGATACTGCCTCCCTCCCAGGATCTCCAGCTGGAGAGGGCCAATAGTTGTCACTGAAAACATGAACTCTTGAAATAGACCCCATTATCCTTCCCTTCTCCATCTCAAGTCCCATTTATTTTTCTTTGTAACCTCGCCCTTCTGATACTCAACACTGAAAGGGGTTTTTATAATTTTAAATTATTACTGCTGTTAAATAAATGGACGTTTCAGCTCAATGAGATGTTATGCATGATTTGAGGAAAAACTACAGGGTAAGCTCTCCGGAGACTGCTGTGCTGAGCCATCCCATTTCACTCCAGGGCAGGCTGGGCTTGTCCGAGCCCTCCTGCATGCTGAGCACAGGCATGCTGTGAGCCCTGGGTACCAGACTCCGACATGACCAGCACCTGTACATGTGTTGCCAGCCTGCGGGTTGTTGAGCGGTTGGCTGCAGGATTGCAACTGAAAGCATCCTTGCCTGGTCTTTTGTATTTTTTACACCTCCCTGTTGCAGTCCTGCCCTTTTCTCAGCCTGAGCGGACTTTTCCACTGTGTTGACATCAGGACTGGGTGTGCATCAGAGCAAGGACCAGCCAGATATCATTGTGATCAAATAATATACAGGAAATACAGTTTGGAGAAAAATGTATTTCAAAGCTACTTAAAATACAGCTGATTAAAAAAGAAGAGAGAGACAAATATCCAGGTGTGTTTGTGACTCAGTTTCTGCGACAGAGCTGGAGCTTGGGGAATGAAAAGAATGTGACTGGAGCAGGCAGTAAACTGACCTGCTGCCTGTGTCTGCGCTCACCTGGGCTGGGAGGCGCGAGAGGAACAAAAACCTGTCTTTGCTTGGTGTTCTCAACGAGGGCCTTCGGTTTTCGTCTTGTGACGCTGAATCTCTGGCACAGCCCTGCCAGCTCCAAGAGGAGCCTGGGACAGGAGCACAGGGCAGGGCTGTGCGCTGGGGTAGGAGATGTCCTTGGAGGAGTGTGCGTGGGCAGCAGTGGGTGAGGTTTCTGCTCTGCTTGGGCTTTTGGGACACAGCCTGGTGCAGAGCCAGCAGGCAGAGCAAGGTGGTGGCACATGGCTCTGAATGGCTGGGCCCGGTGGCTCGGGACAGATGTCAACTGATGCCCCTTTCTGTTGCAGGGACTTTGGGCAGTCAGGGCATCTGCCGGACCCGCTGACCGGGTGTCGGTGATGGCATCGTGCGCTCCAGAGGCTGCGTGCCGGGACCTTGCTGTGGCAGATGCCAGAGCAGTAGGTGGGGAGCCTGCCCCTGTGGGGGCTGCCAGGGGGGGATGGACGGAGGGTTCAGCAGCTTGGGAGTCTCCCTGTGTCTTCTCTGGCTTTTGGGGCTCTGCGAGGGGGCTGGGAGTGGCTGAGGAAGGTGCTGGCCTTCCTCCCTGGGCACTCAAGGTCCTGGTACCGGCAGACTTTTGGTGTCTTTCAAAGCAGCCTCACCTGAGGACCTGGCCCTTCCTCCCGAGACCTTTCTGGGAAGGGACGTGCCTCCCATGGAGGAGGAAAACAGGCGCCTTGTTTGGCTATTCTTGAGCCATTTTGGAATACAAGAAGAGAATGTTTGTTGGAGAAAACGTCCCCAGTGTGGATGGCAACAGCCTTTGCCAAGCCTGTCGAGGCCACGCGGCCGGCGCTGAGCAACTCTCCTGGAATGTTTTTCCTCCTTGGCTTTGCCAGCGCAGCCAGGGCAGCCCAGCGGCGCCTTTCATCTCGGCGGGTGGATGCCTGCGGGACGAGGGTTTATCTCAGGACTGGTATATCAGGGTTAATAGCTCATCCTCCGCCAGAGGTTGAGCCAGAAGCTTCTGCCACCAGGATCCTAGGCTTAGGAGGTGGGTGGCAGCAGGAAGGTCCCCAGCTGAGCCTGCATGTGCCCATCAGCTGGGCTGGCACGGAGGGAAGGCTTTGCTGTTTAGTCACTGAAACGCAGCCCGGGAGACCTGGAAAAACCTTCCTTCTCCTGCCGCATTTTAGCTGCTGGCTGTGGCACGAGGTTCCCAGCTCCTCCAGAGCTTGGGGGGTGATTTCTCACATGTGAGCAGTGCTCGGGGTGGGTTTTGAGTGGGCGAAGCAAAGCCTGTGGTGGGTACGTGGCTGCTCCCGGCCAGTGCTGGTGCCCGTGCCCATGCCCACCGCAGCCACCACACAGTTAATGCGGTGGCTGTTCCCTCTCACAGACTTGTTTGGAGCTGGTTGGGTAAGAAATGGAACAAGTTTGGTGGTTTTCACTGGGGCCATCGCTCATGTCTGACGTGACAAAGTGACCAGGCTGCGATGCCTCGCTGCAGCGGGTGCGGAGGGCGGCGCAGGAACGTGCCCTGGCTGGGAGGCCGAGGCGCGGGTGCTATTTCTGGCCGTGCTCCCCTCCAGGCAAGGGACTGGTCCTCCCAGCTGGTTCCTTCCTGGCTCCATCTCTGCTGGGGAGGATGGAGTGGAGCTGGGCTTGGGGGGGGCAGGACCAGCCTGGGGGCACTGGCTGCAGCCTGGGGAGGCTGGGGGATGGATGCCCCACTGTGCTTCAGGTCTTGATCCAGGGCAGGGATCAGGCACCAGCCATTTGAGTGGGCATCTGTGGCCCAAGTACTACCACTGGGGATGGGTCCCCAGAGCGGGTCTGGTTCTTTCTGCTCATGATGTCCTGGCTCAGGGTCTGCACATGAGTGGGGAACAGTGTCCCAGCTCCTCCCAGCCAGGGGCAGCCCCAGGGCTGCATCTACCCGAGGGTCCGGGCTGGCTCCTGCGGTGCTGCCCAGCTCCTCGTCCTGCAGAGCCCACTGCAATGCTGCAACGGGACACTCGGCTGGGCTGGGCTCTTGCTCTGTCTGGCACCAGGGACCCTCTCGAGCCCTCATCCCCCTCTGCCTTGTCCCTTTGGGACTCCAGGGCCACATCCCCTTGCACAGAGCCTGGCACCTCCCGGGGGATGCTCCCCCTCAGAGCAGCTGCGCTGCTCTGGCTGTGGGTCACGCGTGCGAGCGCTTTCCTGTGGTGCTAGCGCAGGGTCCAGGCTCTCCGCCGCCGGCAGCTGCTTTTTCCTGCTCCCTCCTTTGTGCCGCTGAACAGCTGTCGCTCTGTTTTCCTGTGGGTGAGGTTTTGGGCTGGATGCATCTCTGCCTGCACACTCGGGTGAGGGTGTGGGTCAATGAGGAGCTGGACATGGCGGGGACCAGCTCCCCACCGGCAGCAGCAGGGACGATGCTGGTGGCTCCAGCCACGACCCTGGGAGAGCCAACCCCACCTGGCCCGAGCCAAGCCCACCATCAAAGCTCCAAGACTCACTCCCCTTTCCGTACCATGAACACAGCTTTAATTGCCACGACTGCTTGGACACAAGACAAACATAGCCTGCCGGTACGTCCCAGCCCTGCAGCCTCCGTCCCAGCCCTAGTCCCTGCAGAGATGCCATTAGCAGAGCGATGGCCACCTGGTTCGGGCTACACAGGCAGGGGCATGACGTCGGCAGCACGTGGTGGCTGCGCTCCCCAGGCTGCACCGGGCTGGCTCTGCCTTGGCAGGATGGTGGGGAGAGCCATGTCCCTGCACGGCTGCAGGCTGTGTCTGGAGTATCTGCCTTCCACATCCATCCTGCGCCATACATTTAAAAATAAAACAATAAATAGCAAAAAAAATAGATATGTACATAAATAAAATAACCCTCTTCTCCATTTTTTCCTACAGGACGGTCCAGAGCCGCCCGCGGGGCTCAGCTGACGAGCATGGGGAGGAAGTGGGTAGAGAGGTGCTGCCGGCGCGTCTTGCCCCCTCGCTGCGGCCTGCCCTTGCTATTGAGCGAGAGGAACATGAGGCGGCCCCGGTGCCGCCAGCGCAGCGATGCGTAGGTGTTGTAGCCGTTCTCCTCGATGCGCTCCGTGAACTTGCAGTTGGGGCTGAACTCCTTCTGGCAGGAGAGGGAAGGGGGTGAGGGGCGGCTGCACTCGGCCGGGGCCCATCGTCACCCTGCTCCGGTGGGGTCGGAGCCCGAGAACGGGGCAGGGCAGGACCCCGGCTCCTCCCCGGTCCCTGGAGGGCAGAGGGGCTCTGTGGGTGCCGTCCCCTGCTGGGGAGCCGGTCAGGGCACGGGAAACCAGGAGCCCGCTCCTGGGCACCAGTCCCGGCAGCTTTGGGACCCCCCGTTCCAGCTCTGCCCTGTGCCTCTGACCCCGGTCCGGTCCCTCCCGGGAGGCAGCGTCCGACCTACCGACCCGTAGAGCCTCCCCTGCTTGTTCATGGCCAGGTAGAAGCCGGTGTGCACCGCCCGGATGGCCACGACGCCGACACGCACCGATCGGATCTCGACGATGCCTACGGGACAGGGAAGCGCGGCAGTGAGCCGGGGAGGGACGGGTGACCTCCCCAAGGCGTCCTGCCCTGACGACGGGTCTGTGGCCACAAAGTGCCGCCCCCACAGGGACAGCGCCGCTGACCCTCGCCCGGGGCCGAAGCAGCTGGAGGGACGGCGGGAACGAGGGCTGCTGCCTGACCCGGGAGCGGGAGGGGGAACCTCTGATCAGGGGAGGATTTGATCTTTACTCCTCTCCTCCCCAGGCCCCAGCTGCTTCCCAGAAGCCGGGCTGCGTGGGAGCGATGCCAAGCACAACGTCCATTTGCCCGGAACAAATCTCTGCCCATTGCTGACCGGGTTTATCCTCCCCTCACGGGCAGCTCTGCCTGTGCATCTGTCCCGAATGCACCTGCGGTGGTGCCCTGGCGACCCGAATTGCCTCTCGCAGCACTCGCCCCCCCTGTGCACTTGGGGCACCGAGGCCGGCGTGGCCCTTGGAGGGGCAGAGTGTGCACGGGGGGGGTGGCAGTGACAGCGCACAGCTGCGTTAGGGTGGATGGAGGCACCTGGGCAGAGGGCTGCAGGGGCAGGAACACGGTATGGACGGTGCTGCCGACAGACATTGGTATCAATAGCCCAGCTGGCACAAGCACAGATGCACAGCTCTGTGCCGGGCACCATGGGCAGGAGGGATGCGGCAGCACTGCAGGACGTGGGGACGAGCCCAGGAGGCGGCTGCAGCCGGGCTGCGAAGCCACAGCGGGGCCCGGCCATGGCTGGGCTGACGTGCGTGTGCCCGGCCACCGAGCTCCCAGCACAGCCGCTAATGGGAAAGGCATGCGGTCGGACCAGCAGCTCTGACAGGGGAAACACCCAGAGCATCATCAGGGCCTCTGGATTCCTGCACTGCCTCGCACCTGCCAATGCCCAGCCAGCCCAGAGTGCCGAGGCCAGCCCTGCTGCCCACCGGGCACACACATGGTGCTGGGGGAAGGGGAGAAGGAATCTCCAATGGGCAGAGATGCAGGCAGGACAGCGGGCAGGTTGTGAGCCACAGCGGGAGCTGCCCATGGGTGCCGCTGCCCGGGGCTGCCCTGGCCGGCTAGGGTAGGAGGATGTGCGGAGGCTTTGGCTGGTGGCAGCATGCATGGCGCGGGGGGCTGCAGCCCCTGGGCAGGGGCTTTCACCAGGCATCCACACCCCGGCTGAGCCGGCATTCCCTGGGCATCACCTGCCTGGGGGCACACGTGCCCTGGCCAGAAGCGGACAGAGTGGATATGGCACCAGGGCAGCGTGAGGGCTCCCAAGCATTCAGCTCCTTGGGGGCCATGTGTAAGAGGGGATTTTCAGCCCAACTGCCTCCGTGCTACTGCCAGCACCCAGCCCCGGCACCCAGGGCCCGGCCCAGTGAAGCCGTTGACAAGCGGCAGCCATGGGGAAGGGCTGAGCAAATGCCTGCGAATCCATCCCACTTGATCACCGTCTGGAGCTGCTGCTATTTATAACATAAAACTTCTGCTTTTCTAAAAATAACCCCCCCGTTGCTGTTCCCGGCGCCCCGGCCGGCTCTGCCCTGCTTTGGTCACAGGTGCCCGGCCAGTGCCTGGCTCTGCGGGGGGGGGATAGGTCCCTGCAGGCGTGGGGCAGCAGCCCAGGGCCGTGCAGCAGCCAGGAGGCAGCTCCCAGTGCTCCCAGTCTCACACCCTCTGCCCCAGCGGGGTCCCAGGGAGGCTGGGGCAGGTGCAGGGCTCGAGGCAGGGGAAGCCCTGGGACAGCCCCTGCCACCCCGCAGCCGCTGGCAGGGCTGGTCCGGCAGCTGCCGTGAAGGCTGAGGAGCAGAGCCCGAGCCCAGCCCAAGCGCATGTTATCTGCTGCACCGATAACCAGAGCGAGCCCCGTGCGACAGCCTGGAGCCACTCCACCTGCCAGGCCCCACGGCTGAGGGAACGCGTGTTGGAGTGCTTGGCACTGGCAGCGTGCCCGGTCACGACTCCTGACAGCCTCCGACACCACAAGAGGGTTCCCTGGGCTGGGCTGGGCTCCTTTGTCCTGTGGCCGGATGGGTGACATCCTCCTGCGCTAGCCAGGAGACAGGACAGCCCCTGCTGCCACCAGGACATGGGCTGGGGGATGCTGCTCCCGTCCGCAGCATCCTTCCCATCCCAAGCCCCCGTGCCCTGCCAGGGCCCCCCAGGGATGCTCGGGCATTCCCCCTTCCCAAGGCCCCCAGCATCCCCGCCCTGTCCAGCCACTGTCCTGCCAGCCTGGTGCCCCCCTCCCACTCCCAGGGTGCGGGGACCCAGCACTTGAAATGGGCCGATACCACAGGTGCCGGGGCTGGGCTCGCAGCCCTGACCCTTCCTGCAGCCGTACTGTGGGTGCCGTGTCCCCTCAGGACTCACGGCACCATCACCTGGAGGGGGCCTGGGTGGGAGCAGGTGGCCACAGAGCCGAGGCAGGATCCTGGTGCCGGGAGCAGCCTCTCCGCTGGCGCGGGGACCCTGGTGCTGGCCTCCGCAGCTGCCTCTTCCCACTGCCGCACGCGGCTGCTCCCAAGGGCTGCAGGGTGGAGCAGACGCAGCCCCAGCCCCAGGGGAAGGCCTAATCCTGCCTCCTTGTTCCCAAGCTCCAGATCGCAGCACAGCCTGGGCAGCGACGACATCCCGCAGCGTTCGCCCTCTCTGTTTTCCCCCTCCCAGGATGCGCTGCCCGGTCCCATGAGCCCCCCGGGCCCCTCTGCAGGAGCAGCCCGTGGGGATGCTGCAAGGAGTCCCCCCCTCAGCATGCTGTGGTGGGGGCTGCCAGCTGTGCCCACCCGGGTCCCCGCGCAACGGGTGTCCCTGCAGTCCACACGTGCCCTCAGGCTGTGCTGAGCCCCGACCTGCTCTGCAGGTAGTGGATGCTCTGTGGTCCCCTCCGACGGGGCTGCTCCACTCTCCTGTGCCAGCCTCACCGATGCTCGGTTCTGAGACCAACATCATCCCGAAGCTTCCTCTGTCCCTCCATCCCTCCTCCTCCTCCTCCTCAGCCTTTATCCTCCCCAGCATGTTTAAAGGGAACGATCAGATCCCCTCCAGTGCTGAATGAAGATAACCCAAAACGCAGGGCAGGGGAGACAGCCCCCCTGTCTGCACTGGCAGGACAAAATGGGATGAGGGACCCCCCCCGGTCACCCCAGGCACTGGGCAGAGCTGGCAAAGTGACACCGGGTCCCTAGACAGAGCACGCTAGTGTCCGCACACCTCTCATCGCTTCCTCAGTGCGGTGGGCAAACAAACCCCGGGAAAGGGGCTCCCGGGGGCAAGGGCAGCAGGAACCGTTCGTGCTCGAGTGAGCTGCGTGCACCGGCCAGCCGTCTGCGGGACAGTGGGGACAGAGGGGACAGCGGGGGCAGCAGGGCAGCGGGGGCAGCGGGGACAGC